TGTTTCCACAAGTTTTATATAAGAACAATTATGATTAACCATCACCAGTGCTGACTGTGACCTGTATAACAAGCAAATGTGCACATATCCCATTTCTACAAAATTCAAAAGGAAAACCACAGGATTTATATGAGAAAATCAGTCACATATAAGTTTAAGGTATCTGCTATGGTCACATTTATATAGTTCTTGGCACTGACAGAAAGTATGATTTTATATACAACTCAAGGTCACATACAAAAAATTATGTATCATACGTAGAACTCTACCACATGCAGTCAATCCCAATCACCTATGATGGTCACACATTGAAATTCATGCTACGTATTGAGACCGGTCATATATGTAACTGTCAATAACGTAATTATTTAACGTCCACAATCATTATGCAGCTGAGTCACATAGGCTACTGTCTGTAAATCGTAATGCCCAAACATGAATTGGTTGAATTCGAACCCACACGATGAATACAGACGCTGTCATAGGATTTCAAAATTGGAATCACATACCTGATTTTAATCCAGATTATGGAAGAACGAAGGTTGCTTGATTACGGATCAATTAATTCCAATTGCTATCGAATATGATTCCGGTAATGTGAATGATTTTCGTCCTACGATTGCTCAAGCTTCTTTTTATGGGATGTTGCATTCATTTGTGACCGAGATTTCAGCACAAATTGTAACAGATTACTTATTTTAAGGAGCCATTTGTAATCATACCATATATATATATATATGATTTATGACCTGATTTGTGTATATTTAAACCTTGATTCTTAAAAATGAAATGGGGTACTTTAAAAGCCTGGGTTATGTATTGTTCCCATTAATTATTCCAACACTAAGATGATGTCGATGGAGATTTGTGGACTTCGTAAAGATGAGCACCGAGTGCGCTTGAGCTTGCTTGCGGCCGGAGAACTTCAAGCATGTGCCAATCGGAGGTTGCTTTCTCCCTTCTGGGATTGGAAATGGATGGAGATGAAAGTTAAAAAAAAAAAAATTGGGGAAAATGGGAGGAAATTTTCTCCCTTTCGTCGAAATTTCAATTGAGCCCCGATCGAAGGAAACTTTCTTCCTTTCGTTTTTGTAGTTTGGGGAAAGTGGGTGGAGAGAGAGAACTTTGTTTTATGAATTAATCAATTTTCCTCCATTTTGCATTCGGTGGCTTTATTCACTTTTTAATGAATTAAATAATGCACAGTGATCATTTTTCAAATCCCGGTATCCATTCTATCAATACTCCTATCCACCTAGCATAATTGTAACAGGATTGTATGTTTTTTATACACATTAAATTTTGATATTGTCTTATATTAAATTCATTCATTTAAACATTATAAAATCCACACTATTTTTATGTATCCAGCACATCATAATTTTTTCAATATTTTCATATATCTATCCCCACAATTTTTATATATCTACATTCACACCATTTTTTATATACCTAATGGATGAAAATACTATCTGTAAAAGATCGGTATAAGCTCTAGAAACCTGCTCAGGGTTTACAAATGAGTACAATGAGAAGCTTACTTGAGAGAAAATGCAAATGCATAAACATAGATTAAAAGGACAGAAGAACGTCAAACCAGTAAGATGGTTGAGAAGGAAATCAGTAAAGAAAATAATAATACGAGCTCCATAGACAAATTATACAGTAATCAAAAAATGAGCAAAAACATTTTTTTTTTTTAATTATTAACACCATTTTCCTCTATTACAAAGTTCCTCTTTATTACGCTTTGCTCTTCAGCACTCAGCAATGACGTGATCCTTTGACCCACCATCTTTTGACCCCTCTCTCTGTGTACTGGAAATGTGCAAAGACTATTGTTGTTGTTGCTGTTATAATTAATAATAGGATAAGATAGAATAAAATGGGAGGTCCTTAACCTTTCACAAGTGTGCCGTCATTTTCCTAATCTTTTAAAGCGCTATATTCTTACTTACAAAATTCGTAGTAAAACAGTCACGTATATCTGAGTGAATAAGTAAAATTATCGAAAAATGATTTTTCTCTAATTTAAATTGTAGGACCAATACCTTGAAGCAATTAGTCTTATGAAGAAAATATGTTGTGTAGCCACGTATTTTTATAAATGTTATCGAACCTTTAATCATTTTCATATTTATGATCATAACTTTTTTTCTTCATTGACTTTCATTATGTAGCATATCTTGTTCCTTTCGATCTTTTTTTGTCCAAAAAATTTGCTGGTATGCTTTAAAATGAGGAATGTATATTTAATCGTATTTTTTATTTGTTTCTTTTGTTTACTAGGCAAATAAGTTATTTGGCCCAAAATACCTATACATACCCATAACATTGTATGTACTTGTATTCCCTCTCAAATCTATACAATTTGAGGTGATTTGATAATAAAAGCAGTGTCAACTCCTACTACTATATGAAATCATCCACTTCTTCGAGATCTCAAAGTACAAATCGTCCATCTTGTGAAATGCAAAAAAATAAAATAATGAATATTACTATTCAGTTAATGATATTGGTATATGTGTATTAGGCCCCGTTTGGTAGGGATTTTTTGCTCCAAAAAATTGATATTTTGACCGTTATTTTACTATTTAAGCCGTAATTTTTGACTTCTTCTCTCACATGTGGACCCCACTTTTCTTCTAACGGTCAAAAAATCAATTCTCAAAATCTCTACCAAACGGGCCCTTAGTATACTTAAAAGTCCGTTCTTATCTTTTCATTGGGCATGTCAAGTCGAGCGATCAAACTATCATAAATAATTTGAAAGATCATACCGTATTTAGAGAAGCTAAAATCATTATAATCAATTCAATAGATCACACAACATCCGAAGGTCATAAAATATAAATGAAATGGGAGATCATACATCATAATGAATTGTCAACTATTGGGAGATCAAAAGCCTCATTATATTGTAAACAAATCAATTTTCAGGTACTTACTCATTTTCACATATATGTTGGGTTTCTTGAAGTACATGCCATTTTAAAATCTTAAAATCATGATGTAATGACACAATCATCAAATGACTACACATCATCTTCGTGCCATACCTATTAAATACATCATTCAAGTAAATAAAGAAATTAAGTACGTGTTTGGGGTTCTGTTATGATCTTTTTGCCATTATATGATGATTTTTATAATTTTAAATGACATGTTTAAAAAATTCAAATATATGTGATAATGAGTTAGAACCTTGAAATGGATTTGTACACCACATAATGAGGGCTTCGGGTGCTGTGTGATCTCTCTAGAGTTTGACCATTTCGGATACTATACGATCTTCTAGCTCAGTTTAGGGATGTCAACGATCCAAGTCAAGCGGGCTTGTTAGCCGAAACTCAAAGTTCGTGCTCGACTTGAGTAAAAATAATTCCAGATTTTTTTAGCCCAAACCAAGTCGAGCTTTTGCTCGGCCAAAAAATATAGGCTTAATCTGAATTTTTGTCTTGGGCCTTAAACTCGGATCGAGTCGAGCCAAGCCAATTCGCTCTTTTTTTTTTTAGTAAGTTATATAGCTATCTTTTAGACAGCTAAAAGCTGCCTTAACAAGGCAGTTACATGTCTTGTATAGCTGGCAGCTAATTTTATTTTATTTTATTTATTTATTATTATTATTCTAAGATTTTGCAATTTTTTCTTATTTATTTTTCAGGTTCGACTAGTTCCGAGCTGCATGGGCTAGCTTGGGTTCGAGCCGATGTCCCAAAATGGGGCTCTGCCCGAGCCTCGAGTCAGGTTCTATCGAGTCACGAGTCAGGCAGGGCCTATTCGAACTTTTCCCAAGATGAGCCATTGATTACTAGAGTCGATGGAGCCAAATTGACATCTCGAGCTCAGTTGAATCTAGTTATATTTCATAGCCTTCCAGATGCCGCGTTATTTCGAATTGATTATAGTGATTTAACTTCTTTAGCTTGGTACTTAACATACGACATATTAGAGAGCCCTTGTTTGAGCCCCATTTTTGTTAAAAATGTATTTTGAAAAAGTGATTTTTTTGAAAAATGTGTGGTTGAAAAATAAGAAATTTTTTTAATTTATGTGTAATATTATTTTATTAAAGAATGTGTGGTTGAAAGGAAAAAAAGAGAAAAATGTATTTTCATAAAAATGGGGCTCAAACAAGGACTATATGTTAATTTTTTTAAAATCAATTGACCACCATTGAAGCTATTATAAAATAATGATTAAGCCCATGTTTGGGATAAAATAGTCAAAATCAACAATTAATTTTAATAATATATTTCATGATATTCATAATTTTTTAATAAAAAAATTGATGTTGGCTAAATATAAGAGTGTCAATGAGCCGAGTCGAGCCAAACCGAAAATCGATGAGCTTTTTTAAGATGGGTTTTTTTTTTTGCCTGAGAATTGAGGCTTGACCCGAGTTTTCAGCTCGGGCCTTATTGAGCCGACTTGATTTTTTTCCTCTCTCTCTCCCATATGAAGGCAAGCTGCCAGCTACCTTTTAAAGGCAGCATTCCAACAGCCCGTTGGCACGTTGCCTCTCACAAAAAGGCAGTTGATTTTATTATTATTATTATTATTTTTAGCCAGCCCATGGGTCGGCTCGGCCTGACACCCCAAGATGGGGCTCGACTAGAGCCCACCGAGCCCAGAGAAACTAGTTTATCTCTATTGCTTTTAAGAAGTCAAAATGAATATTTGAGATTTCAAAGTTACTTTCGAATCCGAAACTATTTTAGAAATTAATTTCCACACATCAATTAAAGTATCTTCATCATGAAACTTTTTTATAAGAAATAAAAGCAAAAGTAAAAACATTATCAAAGAGGCGCTTAGTTAATACAAATTCGTTGGTATAATTTCCAGATGACAGAAGTAAATATTATCGACTTGCTTGCCAAACGTCGTCGTAAGCAAAGCGTAACATAATTACTTTATGTGGTCTGTAGCGTTTGCAAAACAAAATCGCTTATGCCTCCAAGCAAAAGCGTTGTTGATTAATAAAGTGGCAATTTGCTCATTGGAGCACTGCAAACAATTGGAGGAAAGGGATTGGAGACAACTCTGTGAGTTCACTCTCTTCTCTGTCACTACGCCCACTCACGATCGCATACACCCCACTAAAAAAGCACGCTTGGAGAAGCCAAAAGTCTCTTGCTTTCCTCATTTATATGGAACTACGATGTTAGTTCACGCCAGGGGATAGGCCACTCATGGGTTGGGTTTTTTCCGTATTCCAGGACTTCAACGATTTTGCCACGTGCTTGTAAGGTGAGCTCTTGAATTTTTAAATTACTCTTTTTAATTTCTCTTCTTCTTCTTCTTCAAATTTTATTTTATTTTTATTTTTTTCACGGAATTGATTAGCAAATAGTCTTCTTTCTAGAACTTTTGATAAACTGAAACTTGAATTCTTTTTAAAAAAAATATTATCTTTCTTCAATTGTTTAGAGCATGATTTTGACAAGTGGTTGAACAGTGACGGCACTGTCATGCTCATCCAATCTTGATCGTAGGAATATATTTATTTTCTGGGGTGTACTCATCCGTGTGCAAGTGTGTCTTTGTCTATTGATTTCTTTACTTATTTGGTGTTGGGATTGTGGTTTGGGATAATGCTAAATATTCGAGTTTCACATTCTTCTGCAAGATCACTTCTTTTTTATTTTACTCGAAAAGATAGATGTGCTACCTACGTGATTGCTGCATATTAGTAGTAAAGATATTTACACGGTTGATGGATCAAGCGAAGTTAAATTCGAGAACTCGTTGCTCGGGCTCAACACCATCTGAGGAATCAGCTATGGACCTTGAAAAATACTGTTGCAGTCACTCATGTCGGCCTTCATTTAGTCCACCGTCACTTCAACCCCATGCTTCTGCAGGACAACACGGCGAGAGTAGTGCTGCTTACTTTTCATGGCCTTGTCGAATAAAAGACGATGCTGAAGAGAGGGCAAATTACTTTGCTAACCTACAGAAGGGGGTTTTACCCGAGTCACTTGATGGTCAATTTCCAGAAGGTCAGCGAGCAAATACCTTGCTTGAGCTCATGACCATCAGGGCATTTCATAGCAAGATCTTGCGCTGTTATAGTCTTGGCACAGCAATTGGTTTTCGGATTCGACGTGGCATTTTGACGAATATACCAGCAATACTGGTGTTTGTATCACGAAAAGTCCACAAGCAGTGGCTTAGTCCAATCCAATGTTTACCAACTGCTTTGGAGGTAACAATTTACGACAAAGACGCTCATGCTATCCTACCATTTTTGTAAAGTTATAATTCTTACCTGGTAAAACAAACCAAGTAGGAGAGGGTTAATTCTGAAACATTGTCTACTTTGTTGACTTGCTATCCTACTTATTTTCTATAATAGTATTTATTAGTATTATGCATTTAGTGGATTTACATGCCAAAGACATGAACTATAAGTGCCCTCGCCCAGGAGGGGGTATGGCATGGTTAGCTTGCAAATATTTTATCTATCTGAATTCTGACTCTTCCCGTGTTATGCTTTAAAGTTGAAATGCTATTTACATCTTCAGGGACCAGGAGGGGTGTGGTGTGATGTGGATGTGGTGGAATTTTCATATTTTGGTGCTCCAGAGCCAACGCCTAAGGAGCAGTTGTACACTGAGCTTGTTGATGACCTGCGTGGGAGTGATCTACGTATTGGTTCAGGTTCTCAGGTATTTTGAAAACATGTTGTGACCTTCCACTTCTATAATGCCACTAAAATATGATGTGGTTCTCTTAGTTCAATACATAGATTTCTCACCATTCAAGTTAAACCGTAACTCAACAATATCTCTTGACGGTAAAGTTTCTCTAATTTGAATAAATTAGTATTTAGGATTCCAATATCTGGAGCCATATGCTTTTATTACCTTTCGAAGAAACTAAATGTTATATTGCATGTGGAAAAGAAGTGAGTACTTGCCAATGGGGGAATGGGAAGTTTTGCTGAATGGCCTATTAACATAAATATTTCTCATCACAACATTTGGGCTCTAGGATCCATATGATTATATTGGAATATGCTTTCCATTGTGCCTGAAAAGGACCCTCTTCTTGAATCTATGAATGTTGCAGAGTCAATGGGTCATCTTCTGACTGTATTAGCAATCTATGCTCATGTATGGTCATCTTCAAGCTATCCACTGTGTAGAACTCAGATTGCTTTAGAAATTCTACAAGTTTACATATCTCCTAAGAAGGCAATTTAAGTAGGTTTTCTTCTTAACTTCCGAAAGACACATGCTGTTGTAAAGTGGCCATATCATGAACATACTCTAAATGAAAGATCACACGGGAAATTTTTAGAAATTAGACAGATTTACCTTCTACCAGATAATTCTTTACAGCACCGTTGTGTTTTCCCTGCAAATGTCAGGTTGCAAATCAAGAAAACTACGGGACCTTGGGTGCTATTGTAAAGAGCCAAACAGGCAATCGGCAAGTTGGTTTCCTGACAAATCGACATGTTGCTGTTGATTTAGATTATCCAAATCAAAAGATGTTTCATCCTTTACCACCAACACTTGGACCCGGTGTTTACCTTGGTGCAGTTGAAAGAGCAACTTCATTCATCAGAGATGACCTCTGGTATGGAATATTTGCTGGCATAAATCCAGGTCAGTTTTCAGTATATGTTGGTTTATGATCAAGAAGTAGGTAGTGTCAAATGCTGGCGTTATCAGGGAAATAATTGAATTAGATGAAGTACTACCCATAGATGTCAACCCTATAACTGACAATTTTGAATGTTGTTTTTTACCATTTTGCTTCTTTCTCCCTCTTGAATGTTTGTCCCGATACATGGCCTTTTGAGTTGAGAGCCTAATTAACTAAATATTATATTTATGGAGCGATTGCAATCTTCAGTTATTTCCTTCCCCTTGCAGAGACCTTTGTGAGAGCAGATGGTGCTTTTATCCCTTTCACTGACGATTTCGACATGACTGCTGTAACTACGTCCGTGAAAGGGATAGGAGAGATTGGAAATGTTAAAATTATTGACTTACAATCTCCAGTTGACAGTCTTATTGGAAAGAAAGTAATGAAAGTCGGAAGAAGTTCTGGTTTGACTGCCGGAACTGTATTGGCATATGCTCTTGAGTACAATGATGAGAAAGGGATATGCTTCTTGACTGATTTTCTTGTTGTTGGCGAGAACCAACAAACATTTGACCTTGAAGGAGATAGTGGAAGTCTCATCGTTTTGAAGGGTGAAAAAGAAGAAAAGCCACGTCCAATTGGGATAATCTGGGGTGGGACTGCAAATAGGGGCCGTCTAAAACTAAAAATTGGCCAGCCTCCAGAAAACTGGACTAGTGGAGTTGATCTTGGGCGACTGCTCAATTTCCTTGAGCTCGATCTGATCACTACAAATGAAGCTCTGAAAGGTATGTAAATGTGTAAACCCTTGGATATCTTTTGCCCGAATTATTTTGCATCTACGTGTTTGGCTTGTGCTCTTATGACATGTTTGGTAAAGTGAATTAGATAATTATGGACAATATCAAATCTTGTTACTGTGGTGTCTAATATGGTCTGAAACTGTATGCAACACATTCACAAAGGATCTTGCTATATTATAATCGGGGTAAATTTGTCATATCGGATATAGACATCACTTTGATTATTTTTATATTGTGGCATTTGTTATAGTTGCAGTTCAAGAACAGAGATCTGCTTCCATGACAGGGGTCGGCTCTAACGCTGGAGACTCCTCGCCTCCCGATGTAATGCTTCCCAAGGATAAATCCGAGCCTTTGGGTCTTCACATTCAACATTTGCCCTTGGAAAATGGTGCAGGTGGTCCAGATATAAACTCATCTCCAGTGGAAGCAGCATTCGATTTGGAAGAAGGGTTGAACCCAGGTCCAAGTGTCGAACATCAGTTCATACCAAGCTTTAGTGGGCGGTCCATAATTCATCGTGATGATCAACAAGAAACTGAAGAAAGACTGATGCTTGGCAATCTCTCTGTATTGAGGAATACTTCTGATGAAGACATTCGATTTTCCTTGCAGCTGGGTGAAAACGAGCCCAAGAGAAGAAGATCAGAGCCTATAATACCTAGAATGGAAGAACCATAAGAATTTTTCTCATCTTCTGCTTTTTCCTTTAAAGGACCCAAATTGAGTTTTCACCTGCAACTTGAAATAAGAATGTCTCGTACAGTTTGTCTAAGTTACCACATCTATGTTGTCACTGATACTGAAATGTGCATTACTTCTAATGTGCCATATTTCTATTTAGTTCCAGTGTTCCACTCATATTTAGCACATTTCGATGAGCTTAAAAGTAACTAAAAACTAACCATTTCAATAGTTTATTTTTTATTTTAGATAAAAACATGGTAACTCTTTACTTACCTTAATGTCAATATAAGCAACTTATTTTTTATTTTGGCCTATAAAAAGTACTAATTTCAAAATTTACTCATAAGTGCGATGTTCAGCAGGTGTTTATAAACATATTTATGTATACTTGTTAAAAATAAAATTATTATTATTTTTTTCCTTTTGCTAAATTGAAAAACTAGTCATCACATTAAACAACTGAGGAACTGTATACTACACTATCATCTCAATGTTAATTAACTTCAAATCCAAATTATACAAGTAGGTGCTGCAAGAAATCTGGGCTACTCTTGGCAGCTACTATGGCGATTCTGATGTCAGAGGGATGTCATGGGAGGAAGACGATGCCACTGCCTCTTGATTAGCCAATCATTTTAACTATAATGTTGAGAATCGAAGGATATTACCAGCTGCATTTTCAACTGCGAAATGGTTGCTGGTTTTCGAAAGGAAGTTCAATCTGTTTTGCATTGCCATAGAACTCTTCCAAGTTGTACAAAGCCCTTTGCTGAGGAAGAAATATATGCACCACTACATCACCTGTAATAATTATGTAATGATGCTTGCTAATTTCAACACCATGACAAATAGTTACTAATGCTATAACATTGAACTGATCATTAAAAATCTATAGGAAACCATACTTGGTTCAGATATAACATAGAATGCGAAGAAATTTTATTTCCTTGACGGGTTTTTAGTCATAAACACGGGGTAGAAATGCCAATGTGACATCGTATTTATTCTCCATGAACTTAGTACTGTTATTTCTTTTGACATCATATACCCTATTCTTAATTGTGTTAAATCGTTTCCATGTGAAGAAACACTTACCAAAGTCCAACAGGGTCCATGAGTTAGGTTTAGAATCCCCCGTTGCAGTTCTTCCATACTGTTTTTCTGCTAGATCTCTTATTCTGGTCCTAAAGGATATAAATCAAATTAATCATCCACTATTACTCGTTCTACAATCATCCCTCTTGGTTTGAGTACAGAAAAATTTATGTAGCGATGAATAACCACATAGTCAAACCTAACAAAAGTATTCAAAAATAGCTACTTTACCCGATGGCATCAATTTGGGGTCGTGAAAATGCAGTGGCAACAATAAAGAACCGAGTCCAGTACACGAGAGGCTTCACAAAAAGAACTCTAATATCTGCAGCTTTAACATCACTAGCAACCTTAGCCAATGCCACAGAAACTGCATAGAGAACAATCAATGAATTCATTATACAGGACCATGAAATTGATCTCTTCATTTTTTACCTTGAGAGAAGTTAAAAGACAGTTTTCCATCTTTGTTTCTCTTAAAAAAGTGATATGGGAAAAGAAGCCTAATTGAATAACATTAAAAAAAAACAGCTGACACAAGAAAGAAACTAGGCCAAGAATTGACAGAAAAACCTTCAGAAATTAGGAAACGTTAGATCCCAAGAAATGATCAAGGTTGAGTACGGTAAACAAAACAACGTACAAAAAAATCACAGAAACCTTAAAAGATAAGAGGAAGATGAGATCCTATGAAACCAATCAAGATTGACCACCAAAAAGTTATTAATAGACTTCAGTGGTGAATATGACAAATTCATTGAACGTGGTAGTAAATAATATCATGTATTATAAGGTAAACAGCAGAAGCTGGCTGCAGTAGTGGCCATCGTAGGGACCAAGAACTTGGATTGCAAATTCCACTTCCATTTATATATATCTGCATAAATGCTAAAACCTCAAAAATTAAAAAGCAATGGCCCATCAAGTCCATATACTATTTTAGCATGTGAAACTTTACTGAAGCAGGACAAGTTCTAATACATACTACCTACAAGCTCTGATGCATTCAAATTCACCTTCAATAGATGATATTGAAACCGTGCCAAAAAGGTTGTCAACATGGCGAAATTGCAGCATTTTTGTTCTCCAAAATTGAAACGGGATGGTAAAATGTAAAACAGATTACCAGCTGTTCATTATAATCTAGGCATAATAGAAATTAGAAGAAAGATTAAGGATAAGAACAATGTATTTTTCACACCACTGCATCAAGGTACAGATGGAAATAGCTTACACGCTAAACTTTCAGCATCGTCATCTACCTCGGCGCTAGTAGACTTTTGGTCATTTCTTCTAAAGACCACCTTCCCATACTTCTTGAACAAGTCATCATACATATCATCTGTATCTTCGCTCACATTCTGCAAAGATGTTGCTTTATAAACAATTTGTGTATCTTTATTTATGTTAAGGACAGAGAGTATCTGAAGGAAATGGCATACAAAGATTTACGTTACAGTTGACAAGCTTATGACTAAAAACATGGAAACCAAAATATAAATGGGCATTTTATTTTTTATTTTTTTTGAATTTCACATTCTCTAAGGAAGCCTCGGCCCTTCAAAGCAAGTAACTTGGTCTATCTTTTCTTTGATCTCTCACTATTTATGCCTATCCTATTAATATGATTTTTCACACATGAAAGATTACTTAATTTATACTTTTAAGTATTCTTCTTACTTTCCAACTAAAAAGTTCATATGCATAATTTTAAAAAGTTATATAAACCCGAAACTATTGGATAAAAGTCACCGGATTGGAGTAGAGATCACAAAATATGAACCAGAAACGCTAATAACAAGATAATCACGAACTTGTATCAATGAACGACTTGAACACGATATCGTTGTCCTCAAACGATACTTGCCCCTTCTCCTATGAATTTGAGATGTTTCAAAAGTTGTTGGCAAATGGTTTGCAAGATCATAACAAGGCTTGCAAGGATTTAAGCACCAAAGTACAAGTGCAAATCCTAGAAAACTTGAAGAACACAAAGAATGAATATAAATATGACTTTTAAGACTTTGATCTTTGATTTTGGAAGTAATACGGAACCTTGATGTTTTTTGTAATGTGTTTGCCTTCAACATGGATCCAATACATATAGGCGTCACCACATTCACGAAGTGGTATCAAACTTTAAGCCAAAAGTCACTAATTTTGAATTTACAACGGGAGAAAACGGCCTCCAACGGCCAAATGGGCAAACCATGCGACTGTATAGGTTTGTACCATGCGGTCGCATGGACCATTTTTTTATTGTTGTTTATTTTGAACAACATTATCACAGCAATCCCTCACTTGTTCAAAATTAACAAGTTTCATATTTATAATATACGATACTCACGCATAAGGATTAGATATCTTTCGATTTGAATATAACCATAGTGTAATTCAAGCAAAGTATAGTCGGAACAAATGTAACGTGTAGTTTTGAACCAGTTATTCCATATGACAATACCGGTAAGAACACACACATGAGTACCACGTGTTCTCAAGTTCCTCTTAACTCGCTTAGTGCTTTTATGGCCTTGCGCTTATCATTTTCAACAATCTTTTAAGAGAGAAACTCCAACTCTCTATTAAGGCGGCACCACCTTGAATATTGTTTAGGTGAAGTTCCAATACCTTTGTTATCTTTAGAGGTACTTGTATTTTAACACTAAACTTCATTAAGAGCTTAAAGCTCATCCCTCATTTCAGTAACTAGCATTAATTTAATTAGTATAGGATTATTGCGGATTTAATAATGCTGCAACTATTCACACATCGAATGACTTGTTGTTACCCTTGAAATCCATAAATTACCTTTTGAGCAATGACAGGTAAGGTTACTCTCATTGGTGAACCTTTTTAGTTAAGGAGTTTCAATCCCATCATACTCAAAGTAGATGCTACTAAATCTTTGTTTAGAGATTTAGTTTAAGGATCCGCCAAATTCTCAATTGACCTTACATAATTTAGGAAAATTATTCCATCCTTAATTAACTTGCTTAAATAGTCATGTATAAGACTCATGTGTCTAGACTTTCCATTGTATGCTTTTGCTAATGTGGCTTAACTATCACACATGATAGGTATTGAAGAAATATTCTTTGATCCCAAAGGTATCTCATAAAAGAGATCCTTAAGCCACACAGCCTCTTTCCCGGTATCCGATAGGGCTACAAATTCAGATTCCATGGTTAAGTGTGTTATGCATGTTTGTTTCTTTGATTTCCAAGAAACAACACCTCTTCCTAGAGTGAACACCCAACCTGAGGTGGATTTACTTTCACCCGTACTAGATATCCAACTAGCATCGATAAATCCTTTCAATATTGCCGGAAATTTAGTATATTGCAGACCTAAGTTCTTGATTTTCTTTAAGTATCCAATAACCCTCCCCGTGGCCCTCCAATTATTTTTGTTTGGATTGTTAGTAAATCTATTCGAAATGCTGGGTCAACTTTGACCACAATTTTAAGTGGGACCCGATGTTCGATGTATCGAAATTAATGTTCAATTAAATTCTACGTTCCGAGTAGATGAGTGTAGAATATTTAATTGTGAAAAACCACTTCAATATGAATGAGAAATTATGGTTGAAAGTTGGACAATAAATGAGATGAATAAATGGGAAAGAATTGGAAAAATGTTCCAATCCCACATAGGTTACAAACACAACCGTGAACCACTTAATAAACTTCAAGTTTGGATATGGGTTTGGATCCCAAGGGGTACAAATAGTCTTTGAAAGGGGGGAGTCTTAGACAATGTCTAGACTAATCCAAAGGCCACATGCGCGCGCGCCACCGTCCGACCGGCCGGCCGGGTCGGGTCGGGTCGGGTTGTGGGCTTGTGTTAATATTAATTTAATTTTTTTTAAATTCAATTAATTCCCTCCCTTTGATAGTTTATTAACCGACCCATCAATTTGCTAAAACTGTGCGTTAAGTGGGCGTGAGTGGTGGATGGAAACTGCTCAACCGTCAACTCTCTCCTCTATTTGAATGGTCCTTAGGCTTTCAATTTTAAAAAACACACACAGAAACATCACGAAATCATTCTACATACATACTCTTCTTCTCTGCAATAGTCTACAGAGAGTACTTCCATTTTGGTTCGTTGTCTTGCAGTCGAAGTGCTGCTTCTGCAAGTATCTGATCGTTGTATCTTAGGAGACGCTTTACCACATACCGTAAGCACCGTGTGACGGGGTAAAAACGTCTTAAGGACAGAGAGCCTAGTTCTCGCCTCGATCATCCTCATTCCGAATTCTGGACTTCTTTATGCTTCTGTTTTATTCTGTGCAATTCATTTTTCTGGAAATGATATTCTGCTTTTTTTATTTTGCAATTATTCATCTGGTTTAGCAAGTCATTTATGGAAAATCTGTTCTGTACAACAAATTCGAAAACACCAATCAACAAAATCTACTAAGTTTACTAATAGCATATGCTATATCCGGTTTTGTGCACTGAACTGCATATATAAGACTTCCAATAGAACTAGCATATTCCAATTGAGCAATTGTCATTCCATCATTCTTTACAAGTTTTGAACTTGGATCAATCGGGTACTATATTCTTTTATATTCAAATATTTAAACTTGTTTATCACATTTTCAATATAATGTGATTGACTTGGGTGATAACCCTCACTAGTCTTTGTGATTTTGATACCTAAAATGGTATCCACTTGATCAAGATCCTTCATTTTGAATGTGGAAGATAGAAATCTCTTTGTTTCTTCTACACCATCCATGTGATTACTCATAATCAACATGTCGTCAACATATAAACATATAAATGTCACATAATCATGATATACTTTAGAATATAAACATCTATCTACGCTATTATGTTTAAATCCGAATGATATTATAGCTAAGTCAAATTTCTCATGCCATTTTTTAGGTGTCTGCTTCAAACTATATAAAGATTTTACTAACTTTCATACCTTATGTTCATTTCCAGGTAGAATGAACCCTTCGGGTTGCTCCATATAGACCTCCTTATCGAGATTCTCGTTTAAGAATGTCGTCTTGACATCTATTCGATGAACGTGCAAGTCATATATTGAAGCCAATGCGAATAATATCCTAATCGATATTATTCTGGCTACCGGTGCATAAGTGTCAAAATAATCAATTCCTTCATTTTGTCAAATCCTTTAGTTACTAATCTAGTTTTGAAAGTATTTAGAGAGCCATCAACATTATATTTCCTCCTAAATACCTATTTACATCCAATAGGTTTGGATCCCGGTAGTAGATCGACAAGTTCCCAAATTTTATTAGATATTATCGAATCCATTTCATCTTTAATTGCATCTTTCCAAAAAATGTTATCACAAGAAGCCATGACTTTTTTATAGTTTTTAGGATCGATTCCACTTGTAGAACAAAAGGAATTGTTCTTACAACATTCAACTCATTTTCATCTACTAAGTAAAAGGAGATAAGTTGAGAATCAATTTCATACGGTTCCAAAGACTTCTCAACTAGAGTTCTCTTGCTTCTTCGTGGTTCACTAGACTGATCAACATCTTTAGAAGACATTGCATCACGTGTTCCATTTGAGCTAGGGATGTTTTCAATATTTTCTTTTAATTCATTATCCGATGATAAGTTTTCAAAGAACTTTACATCACTTGATTCGATAATCATATTGGTCTCCAAGTTTAGCAATTTATAAGATTTGTCATTATTAGCATATCCAATAAAAGCAAATTTAATGCCTCTTGGACCTAATTTGGTCCTATTAGGATTTGTGTTCTTGCAATAAGCAAGACACCCCCACACTTTGAAGTGTCCAATGTTCGATTTTCTTCCTTTCCACAATTCATAAGGAGAAACCTTTATATGTTTAGAAGAAATCCTATTAAGTATCCTACATGCACTTAATAAAGTTTCACCCCCTCTAAATTAAACGGCAACTTAGCATATATAAGCATTGCATTAATCATTTCTACTAAGGTTTTATTTTTCCTTTCAGCCAAACCGTCTTGTTCGAGTGTCCTAGGTGCAAAACATTGGTGAATTATGACTTATTGTTCACAATATAAATTAAATTCACTAGAGAAGTATTCACCACATCTATCACTTCTTAAGGTCTTTATTTTCTTATTTAAGTGATTTTCAACTTCATTTTTATAAGTCTTAAATAAATCAAATGTCTCGTATTTATATTTCATCAAATAAACATAGGTATATCTTGAGCAATCATCAATAAGTATTATGAAATATCTATTTCCACTTCTGTTAGCATGCCATTCAATTCACATATATCGGAATGAATTAATTCTAATATGCTAGAAGTCATCTTAACGCTTTGATAATGTTTTTTAACCATTTTTTGCCTCTACACATGTTTTGCATTTAATGGCATCATTTTCATCATATGAAATTAAGTCACAATTTCTCATGCGTTTCATGTTACATTTACCTATGTGACCTAATCTAGCATGCCATAAAGAAAATAAATCGATCATGTAAGCAAAATCAACTTTATTTATTTCATTGTCAATAGTACAAAATTTGACTATTCCTTCACATGAATAGCCTTTTCCAATAAATTTTCCGTTAAGTGATAAACAAATTTACCGGACTCAAAAACATTTTTAATACCCGATTTTCCCAAAAGATTTCCACTCACCAAGTTCCTATTAATATCCGGAACATGTAATATATTTGTGAGAGTAACATTTTTTCCAGAAGTGAAGATAATTTCTACACTTCCTTTTCTAATTACTTTGGACCACACCTCGTTACCCATTTGGATCTCTTGGTCTCCATCCACTTCATTGTATGTTTTGAACAAAGATTTCTCATATGATACATGCACCGCGGCATAAGTTTCATACCATCAGCCGGGAACCTTTCCCTTAATTGCATTTATTTCGCTCATGGTGGCCACAATCTTGTCTTGTTGGATTAAATTCACTATACCCACGAAGTTGTTATGTTTCCGGTGTCTACAATCTTTTACGTAGTGTTCAGATTTCTCACAAACAAAGTATCCTCCTTTGGTCTTCTTCTTGAACTTATTAAGGTTCCTTGAAGGCTTCCTTTTGTTGGATTTTGTTGGCGGTTCGAAATTTTCTACAGCATTTACTTTGGAAGTGCCCTTATGAGAATCACTTTTATCACGTATTCTCAACTCATCCTCAATCCGAAGATATTTTTGCAGTTGTTCTAAAGAATAATCTTCAGAACTATGCATTATCTTCTTCTGGTATCCTTTCCAAGTTCCAGAAAGTTTGACAATTATAGCCCTCACTTGAAAGGTCTCCGATATTTCAATTTTTACTGCCTTCAACTTGACAATTACTTGCATTTCATGTATTTAGGGAAGAAGGGGAGTATTCTCTAAAAATTTAAAATCAAAGTACTTAGAAATTCAAAATTTCTTTGTACCTTCTTCTTCTGCTTTGTACTTATTTTCGAGCGCATCCCAAATTTTCTTTGTTGAAGTTGTGTTTGTATATAAGTCATACAAACGATTCGATAATGCGTTGAGAATGTGACCGCGGCATATTAACTCATCTTCTTGGTGCTTTTGTCTTTCATTCCTCACCACTTCGATTTCTCCATTTATTGGTTCTAGTAGTGGCGCAAATTCCGAATCTAGGACGTAAAAGATCTTTAGTGCAATGAGAAGAAACTTCAATTTGTCTTTCCATCGAGTATAGTTCGTTCCATCGAACCGATCTAACCGCACCAAGTCTTGATTCATGAGTTTAATAATCGCCAATGTTGTCTCGCTTTCTATTGCAGAGATATCGTTTGAGATTGTTGGAGAAAATCCACTGGATTGGAGTAGAGATCATAAAATATGAACCGGAAACGCCAATAATAAGATAATCACGAACTTGTATCAATGAATGGCTTGAACACGATATCGTTGTCCTCAAACGATATTTACCCCTTCTCCTATGAATTTGAGATGCTTCGAAAGTTGTTGGCAAATGGATTGCAGGATTATAACAAGTCTTGCAAGGATTTAAGCACCAAAGTACAAGTGCAAATCCTAGAAAACTTGAAGAACACAAATAATGAATATGAATATGGCTTTTAAGACTTTGATATTTGATTTTGGAAGTAATATGGAATCTCGATGTTTTTTGTAATGTGTTTGCCTTCAATATGGATCCAATATATATAGGCATACACTAAATTCACGAAATGGTATCAAACTTTAAGTCAAAAGTCACCAGTTTTGAATTTACAACGGAAGAAAACGGCTCCAACGGCCAAATAATTGCACCATGCGACAGCATGGTACAAATCCATGCGGTCGCATGGTTTGCCCATGCCTAGACCATTTGGTCTGGGCATTAGGCCATCGACCGCATGGCTATATTCCATGCAGTCGCATAGACCTTTTTTTTTTTTTTTTTTTTTTTTTTATTATTGTTGTTGTTTATTTTGAATAACAATATCACAGCAGAAACTAGTTTTAAAAGTGTGTAGGCTCACTGTATTTAGCAGTTTTGTTTTAAAAATGTGACAGGCTCGCTGTATTTAGCAGTTGAGAAACTTAACAACAATATTCTTAAACATCTTGGAGCACATCTACTTATAATTTCAAAGTATTATTCCCCACATGCTCTGATATTTCTTCAAGTTTCAGCCCATATAAAAATAAATAAATTAAACAGAACAAGCAAAACAAGAAAAATTCCCCGAGCTACTAAGATAACATCAGAAGTAAACGTACATAAAAATGCTTTCCTTACAAATTATGTGTACAGTACAGGTAAACATAATTTTCGAGAGGAACGAATTATTACCGAGCCAACAGCCATACGGGATAACGTGGACTTCTGAGAGCTAACCATTTGTAACGACCCGAACCCATTAAAATTAAACCAAGAAAACCTTCCAGGTTTTAAGGAGAGCTTGCATTCTCGCCGGAAAAGGTCGCCGGAAATGAAATTTCCGGTGCAAGAAGGAGAGCTGTAACAGATTGACATTTGTGGCTATTGCTTTGAAATTGATTAGAACACGTAATAAACTTTTATCCTGTTCTTGCAGATTGTGGGAGGGCATGGAAGATTTTCTCTCTTCAGCCGAATAAAAAGCTTGTCGTCATCCATTTCCGTGATAAATATCTGACCCGGTTACTTTGCGGGTTGAACTTGGTGATCTAATTTAACTAAATAAATGGGCCAATTCGCAAGACTTCCATTTTTAGCACCAAAAAAGCCCATGTAGGATAGGATTTCAGTCTTCTGTCTGAGTATTCCTTCAACAAAAGCCTAGCCTCCCTGACTCCCCAACATCTGTACTGTACCCACATAAATCTAGCTGAAAATGGTGAAATTTCTGAGACCTAACAATGCCGCGGTCCTCCTACAGGGCCGTTTCGCTGGGCAAAGAACCACCATTGTCAAAAACTTTAATGACAGCACCGGCGAGTCACCACCGCCCTAAGGTCGTCACTTCCTAGTTGCCGGGTATAGCCAAGGACCCCTAGCAAAGTTATCAAGGACTCCGCCGAGAAGCAGACCAAAAAATGTCTCGTGAAGGCTTTCATCAAGCTCGTCAACTACAACCACATCATGCTCACGCGCTACACGCTCGTCGTTAACCTCAAGGGATTATGTTTGCCCAGATGCGCCCGTCTCTCTTGATAAGAAGGTCACGTCTTGCAAGGAGATTAATGTACGGTTTGAGGAGCGGTCGAAGACTGGTAAGAACCGGTGGCTTTTCTCTAAGCTCAGGTTTTAAGGCGGATTAGATGAATAATAATGGTATATCATTGTATTTTTTCGATTATATTACATCGGTTTCTCGACTGATGATGTTACGTGGTATTTGTTTAAGGACTAAGCTCTGTTTGGTATGGATTAGAATCTTGATAAAAAATTATGTCAAAAATAAATAATTAATTTAACATTCATATTGCATATTATGTATGCTTGTTTTGCACCAAGATTTTAAATTTTAAGAATCCATACTGCATTCTGTTTGCATTTTTAGCAAACTAAATGCTTCAGAAATTATAGCATCTTGTTTACATTTGTAAAATATGTTTCATTCATATATTTTTGCTGCTCAGTATTTCCATTGTATCACCATTTTTGGGGCGGAGCCATGTATAGTTGAGTGCCTGCACTCAACTTTGGGAGAAAAATTGGAAGCTGATGTTACACCCTGAAACATTCCTTACTCTCTAATGGCATGGCGAATCGCTTGATGTTTATAAAGTTTCCTTAAATGCGAAAAAAGATACCGTGGTGTTAGATTTAAATTAATTTGTGCCCGCACTGAGAAAATTTTCGAGCTCTGCCCCTGACCATTTTCAAATGGTATTATCTTGTTTGCGTATTCTAATCCTTGAATATAATCTTCTGTTCTACTTTGATTACTTGGAAGAGATTTTGAGTTACTGGATAAATGTTTCTGGTATGTTTTCATGAAGGAAAAGGATACACGTCCAGGGCCTGGAAGGACACATATTGGTTGGGTGGGCCTGATCCCGCGGGCCCCCCACCAATTGGGGGCGCCACTGGACGTCAAGCACAGCCCTTTCATGAATACGCGGATTAGAGAGATTGCAGAAATGATATTTTATGGTGAGTCGTTCCCATGACATATGTAGTCTCTTTGGATGCGTGGATTGATATTACAATTTGTATATTTGTGTCTCTTCATTTTCTTGCATTACTTGTTAAATGTTTCCTACAGACCAGTGTATTTAGTAGTATGCAACCGAGGTTATCATGTGTGTGTTATCCCTTGTGTACCATTTTTATGTACAAGTAGCAAAATCTGCGTGGGAAACTCTATCATCTCTCTCTAACTGTTGCTTGATATATGCCAATCTTAAGAAATTATTGCTGAGAATGGTGTGATTCGTAGGGTTCGGAAGGGTTGGTGGTGGGCTGCTGTGGTGCTAGTGGTTAGAGGTGTTCGGTGATAGATTTAGGGCATGGCTGCTCCCTTTTTAAACCAAATAGAGCCTTCTGTCTGTGTGCTCCATATTACTTGCATCGGGACATCATAAATTTTTTTGTAACTCGTTAAATATGACGTTTGAATGTTAGGGTCTGTTTAGTAAGGTTTTTGAAAAGTCAAAATCTGCGTTTGAAACTAACAAGTTGCTTTAAATTTGTTTGAATAATTTTTTGGAAGTGCTTTGTCGGGCTACAAGAGCTTTTAGAGAAAATTTGTACAGGATATCTTCCTCATTAAGCTCTTCTACTAGAATCAGAGGCAAAAAGCAAAAACTCTACTAAACAAACCCGTTTAAGTACGAAGAACCATCTTTTTTCTTTTATTTTATATACTTGTTTTCAATGAGAAGCTGTACAAGAACTGCTATAAATATATCCTAATTGCTGCATAGAAAGTATATGAAGTAGACAGAAATTTATTAAATTACACATATAAAAACATTGAAGTAACCGATCAGCTTACTACACCCTCTACAGATATTACATAGTGAAAATATATATGGAAACGATAGTCTTTTTCTTTTCATCAGAAGCAAATGTCCAGACACCAGCAGCAGCAAAGACCAGCAAGACTGTGAAAGAACAAATGTTACAAAATTAGGAAACGTCGACTTTTAGGTATACAACGAAGTGGAGAATCAGAAAGCTTACCATCCTTTCAAGCAGCCATCGCCTCTGTTTGTCGTCTCTACAGGGGCATTACCTCGATTATCACCATCCTTTGTAGGGTAACCCATTGGTGGAGGTGCCATAACATATGGGCCATCAGAGTTTTCTTGTGTTCCAGGAGGATATGAAGTTGGGGTTGCTGTAAGGGTAGAACGACCGTTAAGAAACTAAAACAAGCCTCCGGGAGAAGAAAATTGCATGTTCTTGAAATTTACGCGAGAATCAAAGTTCATGTAAACCTGCTTACCAGAAGTTTCGTTTTGATCGTATCTGTTCATAGTTCTTCAAATGTAGTGGAAAAGCCGAGGCTTGATGTATTCGATATTTCTTATGAAGTGTGTATCTGAAGTAGTCGAGGATAAGATTATGGGAAAATTTTGGCCGTGAATCAATGTGTATATGTAGGATCAAGTCTTTGTGTATGAAATCTCTGCATTTGGTTTTGGTCATAAGAAAATCCCTCCGTGACGCAAAAGGAGCAGACGCGTGTGCATCTTGGACACGGCATATCTATCTTCCAAGAACGAATAAAGATGAGTACCGCGTCTGCACTACTTTTCAAAATTTGTTTAATGATTTGGTGTTCATATTCAATCATCATTCTTAAATACTTTAATTATGTGTAAGGTAAATACAGAAGTTTCAAACCTTTCAACAATCGTGTAGTTCGATTTCAAACCTCTAAATTATAATAGATAAGTCGTAGGCCTTTGAGAAGGTGTGTTGGTTTGCATTAAAAAATTTGTTAGTTGATCAAAAGTCAAGTGTTTGATCGTAATTTGATCAATTGTGGGTGGGGTGGGGTGGGGTGGGGTGGGGTGGGCTATCGCCAGGCTCCCCGCAAGGAAAGCCTAAGAGTAGGAAGAGATGTTGGGCCCGTTTGTTATGACTTGCGCTTTTATTTTTTGTAGAAAGTTTTTGGAAGAAGATATCTTTTTTGCTTTTTGGAAGTAAATTTTTAAAAGAATTTCCTATTTCAAACGTGATTTTGAAGGAAGTTACATTGAAGCTGCTTTATACAAAAACTCTTCTAATTATAAAAAATATTTTTATAAAATTAGTTGAATGAATTCAAAAGTAACTTTTGAGTCTCAAAATTTATTTTGGCTATTCAAAAGTCATTTCAAATGGGCTAGTAATTTGATTAGAGAAAAGAAATAATTAATCACAATCCGCCTAATAGTTTAAATAGTTAAATAATCGCAGAACAGGGAAAAAAAAAATATATGCAGGATTTTTCACAACAAAATGTAGAGGTGGGAGCGGGAAGGTTCGAGAACCGAACCAAAATTTTCGGGTATCTAGTAAATGGAACCGTCGGGGTTCAAATATGATTATGAAATCGTTCGGGTTCGATTCCGTTCAATTCGGTTCGGTTTCGTTCAGTTTGGTACTATAATTAATTTTTTTAACATTTATAACAACATTATACAAATACAACTAATGATGTATTCAATGGTTTTGGAATGTCAGAGACTAGTAGATTACGTTATTCAAATGATCGCTATGGTCAAAGTTTCGATCGGTGGAGGTCACAGCGTCGGCCGACGATTGTATAAGTTTTGGAATGTCAGCGAGGTTGTGAGAGTCTAGACAGCGTTATGCACTTCAGTGTAGGGTGTTTAGGGTTATTTAGTGGGTTAGATCTTGTTGGGCTAAAAAATGAAACAATAAAATGAGTAATTGGGCCAAAATTAAAAAATTAGAAATGAAAAAAATTATTGGGCAAAAAATTTGGATTTAAAAATTGTTAATCTATTTAGAAAAAATTAAAATTAAGCCCTTGTTTGAGCCTCATTCTTTAAAAAAAAAATACATTCTTAAATAGTGTTTTGACATCATTTTAATCACACATTTTTCAATAAAATAATATTACACGCAAATTCAAAACTTTTACTTATTTTTAATTACACATTTCCTATTAATACACTATTCAAAAATTCATTTTCTCCCCAAAAAGGGCTCAAACAAGGCCTAAAATAATTTGATTTATTCAATATAAAAAAATTAGAAAGATTCGGTTCTTGGTCTAGAATCGAGAGTCGAATTGTATCTGTCGATTCTCAATTCAAATACCCATTCGATTATTTAATTTGACAAGAACTATCGAGTTCGATTCGGGAGATTTGTCCGGCCCTAACAAATTGTTAAAAAAGTGTAAGGTAGGTTGTGACCCACTTAGAAGTGGGCCAAACCAGACTACAAGCGGCCCTAAAATAAGCCGTTTAACATTAGGGTAAATTAGGCCCAATGCCCTAAAAAAATTACTAATTTGATTAATACCCTATTTAATTAATAAAATCATTCAACAACGTAATTAATACGTTATAACCTCCCTTAAACCTCCAAACTCCTGAAGCCTTCGTGAATGAGGGGAGGAGCATCGCCACAGTCATTCACAACTCAAATCGGTTTCACCACCAGATCCCCAATCGAGAGCCCGCTCGCTACACCACTTGTACTCGTGAAGTGTTTCACCCTTCTAGGCAAACACCACCGCACTATCTTTTGCAATGGCTGCTGCGACGTGGTCCTGGGTGGAAATTGGAAACTATGTTGCACGAGAACTTGATTATGTTTTTGTAATATTGTTTTTGTATTCAAATATGGTTTTTGTAATGTTGTTTGTTCATACTGCTGGAAGAACGTTGTTTCTGGAATTCGATGTTAGCAGGGTATGTGAAATCGGGGAGATTTAGTAATGGCTCAGAGTGTGTTTGACGAAATGCCAGAAAAGGATGTTATATCTTGGAATGCAATGGTTTCATCAATACACCATCCCCTTCGGAGCGCCTCATCTCTCTCTACATCTCTGCGTTTTTCTGTCTAGAAACACATTCTAAATTCTCATCTATTCAACTTGGTATGCAATATATATATACTCCTTTTTTCAGTTTGCTAAAAGGCAAAATCTAAATTTCTGTTCAAATCATAACTTTAGCAGCTCAAAGTGTGTTCGATGAAATGCCAAAGAAGGATGTGATATCTTGGAATGAAATGGTTTCTAGTTATGCAAGGGGCAGGGATATGCATTGTTTCAACAGATGCCAAGGAATAGTTTTGCTTCCTGGAATGCTATGATCTGTGGGTACCAAGATTGCAGGAAGATAAAATTAGCATGCAGATTTTTTGATGCAGTGCCCCAGAAGAACAACGTTTCCCATATTACAGTGATTTTCGGGTACTCAAAATATTGTCCGAGTTTGGTAAACTGTTTGGTCAGTATGCAAACTGTAGGATATGTTATGATTTGAAGACCGCAAAAAATATTATTTGATTAATAGTGATGAACGTTTATATGATTTTTTGATATTTACATCTTAGTTTAGTCATCAATTTTCATTAGTTGTGACTTGTGAGCTTACTGTAAACTTGGTTGCATTTTTTTGAATTCGTCACTTTTTTTTTGAATTTTCGTCACTTTTTAATGTTTGTCACCTTCTTGATTTCTATCTCTTTTTTAAATTCACCACTTTTTTTAGTGTTCGTCACTTTTTTAATTTGTCACTTTTTTGAAATTTTGCCACTTTTTTTTTTGAAATTTTGTCACTTTTTTTTATTGTTCATTACTTTTTTTAAGTCAACTTCTTGAAATTTTTATCACCTTTTCAATGGCAAACATCATTTTTTTTTTAACAAAAGTGAGATTGTATGTCATTTTTTAATAAAAAAGTGACACCAAACTTTTAAAAGTGACATTGTGTCACTTTTTTTGAGTTTTAATGTCACCTTCTAAGTTTTTGTCACTTTTTTAAATATTTGTCACTTTTTGAAGAAGATAAAAAAGTGACATAATATGTTATATTTTCCTCACATAATTAGGACATTAACAATCCACATGTTGATTATGTTAAGAACCGTCACTAAGCTCAAGTGAATTGTCATAGATATGCTGATTATATTAAGAATGTGATTAGTGGTGCTGTCCAAATGGATGGTGCTATTTTGGTGTTTCTCACTTTTTTAGTGTTCCTGTCACTTTTTTTGCATTTGTGAAAAAAAAAAAAAAAAGTGACAATTTTTATAAAAAAGTGACATTGTGTCACTTTTTATATTTTACACAGTATTTTTTACTTCCTAAAAACTTTTCATATGATTTTTCAAAACACCTCTAATTTTAAGGGTATTTTTGTAAGTTGCCCTTAACATTATTAGCTGTCGACGTGAATCAAACGTTACTTCAAAACTAAAATACAAAATGGTCTCGGTTATCGAGGCCCGGTTCATATGGGTTGGAAGTGGGACCCGGAAACCCAATAATACTGTATTTTTCCCTCTTTCGCTCGCAACGGTCAAATGGGGCAGATAAGCTGTTTATTACAAAGTACGGTAATGTTTCCAATGATGATAGCCAACCAGGCTGACACTGACCACTGTCGATACCGATTTATTTACTGAAAGGAAAAGTGTAAGAATCAGGTTTTCTCCCACTTTCTGCACAGAATTGGGTCCATTTTTTCATTTTTAGGAGCTAAAAAAGCCCTCCAAACAGGGTTATAATTACAGAGGAATTTTCTTTAAGAAGGCTGTTCTCTCTTTTTATGGTTGAAATGAAAATATTCACTCTTTTCAAATTTTATTACTTGAGTGTTAGGTAACGAGTTTTCGTTGTTTTTACTAGACTATTTGTGAAAATGTGTATCAATTATTCTTTTCATTTCTTGACCAACGTGTTTTGAATTCTGAAATTTGTTTTGCAAGTAATAAGATTGTATAAAACTCTTGAATCGAATCAAACGATTCTTTTTAAGTTAAATACCTGAATAAGTATCTGAATCTAAAAACGATGGGTTCGGTTCGATTTTGGTTCTTGATCAAGAACCAAATGACTGAATAAGAACCGAATTCTCCTAATTTTTAATTAATTTATTTTAATTGAGCGAAATTATTTTATTTTTTAAAATAAATTTGTTAACTAGTTAATTTAGCTCAAACCCAAAAATATGATTTTCCTATTTCCAAATTTAAGTTCAAAATCAATTTAATCAAATTGACCTAAACTTTATCCAAATCTTTTAATCTACCGCAGTGCCGTTTCTATCGTTTTGAAGAAATTGAATTGAAACTCGACAACGCCTCTCTTAATTATTGTGAGCTCACTATCTTCCTATTTTCGTGATTTTAACAAACAAATTTATGAAGAACTCAGCAAAGAAAGATGCAAAAGACACAAGATTGGACTACGTTATTTTGTAAGAATTAAGATTGAATATATCATTAGTTGAATTAATATATCTTTGTAAATATTAAAAATATTTAATTATAATACGAAACTTGGGAACGGAGCCAAACTGAACCGAATGGAACCAAACCCTAACGATTCCATAATTAATTTGGATTCGACAGTTCCACTTACTAAATACCCGAAAATTTCGGGTCTGGTTCGATTCTAAGGAGAATCGAATTGAATTGAACCGGACTATATTTAGCCCTAGCAAGCAATGTTATGCTAAACGTAACTTTGCCCTTGTTTGAGAAAAAATGGGTTTTTGGATTACTAGATTTTGAAATGGTAATATTTTTATAGAATGTGTAGTTAAAAAATAAAAAGTAGGGAAAATTTTTAAATTTACAGGTAAAATTATCATATTCGGAGAATGTATAGTTAAAAATAAGTTTTGAAAAAAAAAGAAACTCAAACAAGGACTTTGATTCTTTGAAATAGTGATAACCATTGAAATTTTCAAATTTTTTTAATGTCAAATTATAATGAAACTTCTTTAACTAGAGGGAATGAAAACTCCAATATTGATGAACTTGAGGAGGTGTGATGTGCATTTAGAGATCGACTATTCTATGAGAGTGAATAAAGGTTGATTGAAAGAATGGGATTGGTGCCGATGATTGCAGGCACATCATCATTCTCAGTGGATATCACAACGCTTAAAAAAGGCTTGAACATTACTCATGCATATCTCCCATTAGGGGTGGTTGGGGGGGGGGGGAATCAACGAATTAAATGAAAACTACGATTTTGAATCCATTGGCTTGATTTAGGTTTTGACTTTAAAACCTAATCAAACCATTTGATAAGGATTTGATTTAGGTTTCAATAGTTAAAAATCGCTTGAAACAGAGCAGAACCATTTATCCATTTTTTTAAAAAAATTTATTTATCCAATATATATTATTTATTAGATCAATTTATGTTTTTATAAATTTGCTTGCTAGTCGGCTTCTATTGACTTATTAGGAAAATATTGTTGGATATTGGTTAAATAAATCGAGAATTAAAAATCGATTAAAGTGACTTCGTATCGACTTCTTCGAAAATCAATATCGGATGAATGAGAAATTACGAAAAAGGATGAAAATCAGTGAATAGACACCTTTTCATAAATGTACATTGTTTGGAAATGGTGCATGGTTTGGCCTCAACCATTAGTGAATAGACACCTTTTCATAAAGGTGCATTGTTTGGAAAAGGTGCATGGTTTGGTCTCAACCATTTCGTCCACACCCTTTCATGGTCTATAAATAGGACCCTTTGGGTGTCTTATTCCTAACAATTTGATATGCAAAACATCTCTCATCCTCTCTTCTATCCAATATCAAAATCATTTCATTTATTTTGATTTTCCATCATTTCATCCTTGGAGTATATAAGCCTAAATTTGGTTCGTTGTACTTGTGTTTTGGAGTGCTACAAACACAAGTGTAGCCGTTGTATCTTGGGAGTCGATTTCCGAAATCCGTAGGCACCGTTGCGGGACAAATTCGACTTAAGGACAAAGAGTCCAACTCTTGCCTCTGCTTTGTCCCTACTTTCTTCTTCTTCTTGTTTGTGTTTTCTTTGCCGTTACTCTGTCCAATTTTCGGCATGGATTTACAAACCATCATTATACGTATTTTGGCGTCACTATTCACAAAATTCCTCCAACAATCTTAAGTCGAAATTTCTATAAATTTTGTGAAAGTGACATTCTTGTTTGGTTAAACTTGTTAAGTTTAACTTCTTCTTCACTTCTAATTTTGGTTAATCTTCTGTTTTACATAAACAGAAATGAATACGGTTCTTAATACCGATACTACTTCGAATGAAACTTCGAACATGGGAACTTCTGAAGGAAGTGTCCCTACCGGTGTGATTCCTCCCGTTGTGAATACAACTACTACTAATGTGATTCCTCCGATTGTAGGTGCCCCTACTATCGTACATTCAAACTCCGTTTCACATGGGGAAGAGCCGGATAAATTTGTTGGGGTTGATTTCAAAAGGTGGCAACAGAAAATGTTGTTTTATCTCACAACCCTCAACTTGGTGAAATTCTTGAATGAAGATCCTCCCGCCATACAAGAAGGGGAAAACAATAGGGCATCTTTGATTGCTTTGGATGCATGGAAACATTCGGACTTCTTATGCAAGAATTACATTCTTAATGGCTTGGACAACGCCTTATACGGTGTATATTGCTACAAGAAATCTGCAAAGGAACTATGAGAGTCCTTGGAAAAGAAGTACAAGACCGAAGATGCCGGAACCAAGAAGTTCATTGTGGGAAAATTCTTGGACTACAAAATGGTAGATTCGAAGACCGTCATCAGTCAAGTACAAGAATTGCAAGTCATAGTCCATGACATTCATGCGGAAAATATGTCCGTGAGCGAATCATTTCAAGTGGCTGCAATTATCGAAAAACTTCCACCCATGTGGAGGGACTTCAAAAACTATCTCAAATACAAGCGCAAGGAGATGAACATTGAAGAACTTGTGGTCCGATTGAGGATTGAAGAAGACAACCGAAGTTCGGAAAACCGAGTTGGGAATAGCATACCACAAGCAAAGGCAAATGTGGTAGAATCTAGCAACAACAAAGGAAAGAAGAGAAAGCATTCCGTTGAATCTACAAAGAAGAATGCAAAGAAGTTCAAGGGCAATTGCTACAATTGTGGAAAGGCTGGACATCGCTCGGTTGATTGTCGCAAACCTAAGAAGCAATCCCAAGCCAACATTGTCGAATCTGATGCCATATCAAATGGCATGTCCGATATGAATTTATCGGCAGTTGTTTCTGAATGCAACCTTGTTGGAAATCCCATGGAATGGTGGGTTGATACGGGTGCAACCCGTCACATTTGTGCCGATAGAGGAATGTTCACATCATACACTCCAACTGAGGGAGAAAAATTGTTTATGGGGAACTCCTCAACATCCAAAGTGGAAGGACAAGGCAAAGTGGTCTTGAAGATGACGTCGGGAAAAGAACTTAGCCTCAATAATGTCCTTCACGTACCGGATATTCGCAAGAACCTTGTGTCGGGTTCTTTGTTAAGCAAGAATGACTTTAAACTAGTCTTTGTATCGGATAAGTTTGTATTTACCAAAAATGATATGTATGTAGGCAAAAGTTATGTAAAAGATGGACTATTCAAAATGAATGTCCTAACTATTGTACCAAATGCTACAATCAATAAAATGTCATCTTCAGTTTATATTCTTGAGTCATGTAATCTATGGCATCATAGATTAGGACATGCAAACTTTAATTCAATACGAAAGTTAATGAATTTAAGTTTACTTCCGAATATGCATTTTAATAATGGAAAATGCGAAACATGTGTAGAGGCAAAAGCGGCCAAAACATCATTTCATTCGGTTGAACGAAACACCACACCATTAGAACTAATTCACACGGATGTGTGTGATTTGAAGTTCGTACAAACAAGGGGTGATAAAAAGTACTTCATCACATTCATAGATGATTGTACAAGATACTGTTATGTGTACTTGTTAAAAAGTAAAGATGAAGCTTTGGAAGTGTTTAAACACTACAAAAATGAAGTTGAAAATCAATTTGGAAAACGAATTAAAATGATTCGTAGTGATAGAGGTGGAGAATATGTTGCACCGTTTGAAGAATTTTGTGCAGAATCTGGAATAATTCATCAAACAACGACACCATATTCACCACAATCTAATGGAATTGCTGAACGCAAAAATCGAACGTTAAAGGAAATGATGAATGCAATGTTGATTAGTTCGGGCTTACCTCAAAACTTGTGGGGGGAAGCCATACTTTCTGCAAATCATATTTTTAATAAAATACCACACAAAGATAAGGTTGAATCACCTTACGAATTATGGAAAGGTCGGAAACCTTCTTACAAATATCTCAAAGTGTGGGGTGCTTAGCGAAAGTACAAATACCTAAACCTAAACAAGTTAGGATTGGACCAAAGACAATTGATTGTGTCTTTATTGGATATGCTATCAATAGTAGTGCATATCGATTCTTGGTTCACAAATCCGAAGTACTTGATGTACACGTAGGTACAATTATTGAATCAAGAAATGCAGTCTTCTTTGAAGACAGTTTTCCGTGTAAAGAAAAGGAAGTAAGTTCAAATAAACGAACTTATGATAACATACAT